TTGGTGATAACTCCCTGCTGGATTCACTCAGTGTGGCACCACAGAAATCAAACGCTTTTTTCCACGAGCCATTAGCTGGTTGTGCATCACCCATCTGCCACACTGTAAACTCTCCTCTTAGACTTGTCATTCAAGCAAAAAGGGACTCAATGATCCATGTCGGGCATGTTTTTTTAAAGAATGTTTTGATAGAAAAGGTGTTTGTCCTTTGCAGCAATAGAATAAATAAATTTGCGTCCACTTCAGCAAAGCTAGGCCATTTACAGAGCATAACAGTAAGGGGTGCTTCTATAGCGCAAAGCGGCAATTTAACTGACAACTTAACCAATCCATGGTTAAGTGAGTGTACAAGGAGTATGCTGGTTGGTGTGTGTGTGTGTGTGTGTGTGTGTGTGTGCGTGTGCGTGTGCGTGTGTGTGTGTGTGTGTGTGTGTGTGTGTGTGTGTGTGGCCATATAGGCAAGCACTGAATGCCATTCATCTGTGTCTGTGCTTCTGTGCTTGACTAGCTCTCTCCACTGTGTGCAAAAGGAACCAGGGGCTCACAGCAGGAGGCCTGCACCACACAGAAATCTGTTTGAGCTGTTCCCAGTCAGCTCAGATACACTAACCATGCACATCGCATGCACAGGGCAACGCCATGTGTCCTCTACAGTGTAAAGTCATTAAACAGAGCTCCATCCCGGGCTGGCTCCACACCCCGGCTTCCCTTCACACCCTGGGAGTCAAAGCTTGGCATTCTCACTCTGCTTATTAGCTCAACTGATCTTGACTAAAAAGGTTGTTTATCTGCCTCTTTTTTCTTCACCCTCTATCACATTCATGTATGACCTAACACGGCCCAAGAGAAAGCCATTCACAGACACAGCGTGAATCCGAACAAGTGGAGCATCCAAAGATGCTCACTTGCATGCTTTATTAGCGAGCCAGTGTTAAACACGGGACACAAAAGTGTGAGGCACAAACATGAACACCAACCAAAGCCTGGTGCACTGAGAGGAACAAAGCAGCAGGAACCGAGCTTCATTTACCAAGGTGGCCAAACATTACTGTGAATTTTAAGTTTGTTATGCTTTAAGTTTGGCTGGGAAAAAACAAAAAGTCAAATTATCTCCAGTCCCAGAAGAGGAGGGTTAACTCGAGTGTGTTGTCCTAAGAGCGAACATGGTTCCACTTAAAGTGACAGTGTGTATTTTTTCTAGCAATTGGGGGCAGTAGATATCTAAATCGTTGCAAGCAAGCTGTGTTTTTGTGTTGGAGTAAGACCTTACCAACGGATGCCCATTGGGGTCAAAAAGCCCAGGGGGGTGCAAACTTCAACAATATGACAAGCAACAAGGCATTCCAAAGCCAGTATAGAAATGTAATCCCTCCAAATGTTCCTAGGTAAACAGGGTCTTATCCCAAATCCCCTCCACCAGGAGACGTCTAGGGGTGCATCCTTACCACATGCCCAAACTGCCTCTGTTGGCTTCTCTTGACATGTAGGAGCCACAGCTGTGTGCCTCCCAGAAGTCCGAACTCTTCCCCATACCTCTAAGACTGAGCCCCTTTGTTGAAGAAATTCATTTTGGCCACTTGCATTTGCAATCTTGTTCTTTTGATCATTGCCTAAAGTTCACCACAGGGGACTGCTGGAACATAGAACAACATATCTACCTTCCTGTTTAGCACAATCTCCCTTTTATTTAACCAGGAAAGAGTCTTGAGATTAAAAATCTAGTTTACAAGAGTGTCCTGAACAAGACAGGCAGCAGCTCAGCTCAGCTTTACTTGAGGTACGAACTCTCCCTCAATCTAAAGTCTAAAGGCAATCAACGCTTTCCGGTTAAGAACCGTAGCTTCAGACTGGGCGGCACCGATCTATCCCAGTAAACAAGAATAATTTTTTAATTTCATATATTTGATTTAGTGTGCATTATGACAACCTGAATCTATTACGAAAATCGTACAAACAAAATTGTGTCGCCTAATAAATAAATAAAGTGAAAGGATTATATCATGCAAAATCCTTTTTTTGGAGCTTTGGATCATGTTACATTGTCTGAGTGGGATGTGACAGTGAATCTTGTCTTTTGAGACTATAGGCTTAAAACTTTCTAATTTGATACGCCTCATGGATACATTTTGAGTGATGTCAGTCTAGGTTTGGGTGAGTGGGGGAGTAGAGGGCGGTAGAGTGTGTAGCAGGGAATACAGTAAAGATGTTTCTCTCTAGCCCTGCCTCACACATGTCTCCTAAAAGTTTAGATGATCCTGCATTCTCTCTATCTTTGTAGTTATGCTGCTATAGGCTTAAGAGTACTGGAGGACATACTGACCACTTTCCACACTCAGCTACTTTCCTCCAACTGCGTCTACTAGTCGAGAAGTTCTCTGCTGTTTCCTGGATGCTAAACCAACCGCCTCTCCCGTCACAAGCCAAGTTGGGTGATTCCATGAATGTTAAGTGACAGTGTGATGTAGCTCTGTCAGGCTTTTCAAATCCTAGATTTTCACCGTTTCTATCAGAAGCTAATGCAGAAGATACATGTAAGACACAATTTTCATGTTCAACCTGCATGTTAAACTCAGAGTGACCAATCATTTTCAAAAATATAAAATAAAAATGGTTTCTCAGTGAAAATCCTCTTTCATATAACATCTTAAAAGTTGCAAGATCTTGTGCTATCTGTTAGCACCTAACGGTGAGCACTGAACAACTTTGAACATCCTCTAAAGTTGACAGGGTATAGTGATAAATCATATATAATCATTTATATTTGTTACATCAACATCAGCATGCACACTCCATCTGTGCCACTTTAATTCAGCTTTATAACTTTGTTATGAACATGCAGAGGTGTTGACTGAAGTCACATGACTTGGACTCGAGTCATTATTTTAATAGCTTCTGACTTGACTTGATAAAAACCTGTTAAGAGTAACGACTTGACTCAGATTTGAACGCCAATGACTTGCGACTTCAATCGACTTGCATCTATTGGCTTGATGACTTGAGCATGTTTGATATTTTAGCACAAAAGTGGCACGACATGGACAAAAATCAAATCATTCTTAGTTCTGGGTTTGATCTTGTTCTTCTAAATGCAGCAGCACTTTGTTTATGATCAGCTTCAGTTGCACTTTCTGCTTGTTAGAGCAAATAAATGAAGCTTTAAGAAGCTTTATTTCTGGAATTTATTTATCATCATTGTCATTAAATTGAAGTTGGACAGATGACTTGATTATGACTTGAAAATTCAAAGTTAAGGACTTGGACTTGACTTGGACTTCCACATCATTGACTTTGGACTCGACTTGGACTTGGTTGTCTTGGACTTGGACTTGACTCAAGACTTGACTAGAAAGACTTGTGACTTACTTGTGACTTGCAAAGCAGTGACTTGGTCACACCTCTGTGAATATGGCCAGAAGATTAATATCTTGCTAAAATCTAAAAAAAAAAAAAAAAAAAAATCCTAAGAGGTTCCCATAGGTTACCTGACCTGAGCTGCACTAAACTGTCTGTTGACTAGCAATTGCTCTGTCTTGGATTTTGGTTTCTCCATTTTGCCCCTTACAGCAATATAGGTACTGTCAGAATAATATATCTCCTCTTTTTCCTATTCAGTTTATCATTTTCTGCATCATATCCGGAGCCAGTGAAAGCAGAACCCCAGGGTCTTGAGCCTCAAGATGTCGATTAGAGTGGCACCTTGCTGGCTGAAAACACACCTGGATGCATCATCAAAAAGCTGTTGCTGTATTTGGAGAGCACACTGAATAAAAAATAAATCTAAGAGTGGGACTATGTGCTGTAGGTGCTTGATAGTGGGGTGTGATGAGGCAAAGCAGAACAGGAAAGGAAGAAAACAGAAGAGAAAGTGCATACAAATAGATGTTAAACCATCTTTGTTCATGCAATGCATCCTCGAGGAATTGTGGAACAAGCAGAATTTCACCCCCCCACCCCCCCGTTGACAGCTCGGCATGAGCATGAGCAGGCAAGAATCCAAACGGCACACAATAATAAACACTAAATAATGAAAACAAGAAAACAAATATTTTTTAAAAGCATGCAAAGCGTGAGAAACTCAAAGCGAGAGGTTGTGAAACGAATTAGTGCAGATGACTGCCGAGATGAAAAACAGAGCCGGCACAACCACTAAGGTCAAAAATCCCTGGCTCATGCACAGAAGTAAACAGCATTAAGATGCGATTAAACTTGATAAAACTTCAGCCCTTATTAACCACAGCTACTTGCACATCCTGCAGTAGAGACAAGCTGCACTGCAAATAGGACTGTTATCATTTCAATGTAAACAGCAGTGTGCAAAAAGTCTACTATAAAAATAGCTCATTACTGGAGTACATAAATAATAAAGAGCTGTCTAAAGTCTGAGTACACGTGGTTTCAATGGAACTACAGAGACAATCAACTGACATTCAGTGTGAAAATTAGCACCTACACTAGAAAAATCCATCAGACACGAAGACTAATGTGGTTCTGCTGTATAAATAAAAACAAAACTGAATAAAAGTGCTGCTGATGGGCCTAAAAACAGAACACTACAAACTCATGCATGTCTGTTTTCTCATCTCATCTCTAATCTGAACTGAACACAGCACAGGGTGGAACCTCAAGTTGCTCCTTGTGTTAACCTAAATGTGTCAGCAGCATTAACAAGGTCTGAGTCAGATGTTACAGAAAAGGACATTCTGGTGAGAAACGGGCGACTGGGACAAGAAACCACTGGATGAAAAGAGGGAACTTTAATCTGTTGGAATGCTAATGTGTGAGGCCATCTGGACATTCAGGCATTGTTGACAATTAAATCTGAGAAGAGTTGCTGCAGAATGTTCAATAAGGGAGCTGTCGTCAAAAAATGTGTTTTCAATGTACAAATAGAATTCTATGAAAAAACACTGAGACGTCACCACAGAGCAGCAACCAGCATTTAGAGCCTAAATCCAAACCAATGTGTCTTTCTGTGTGTGCTGTGTGTGTGGTCCACTTACTGAGTCTCTTTGCAGCCTCCAGAGCCTCAGAAGCTGTATGAGCCACGTAGAAACGTTGGACAGCCACACCACTGTCTTGCATCAGCTTCTTGCTCTGATATTCTTGTAGATTCAGCCATCTCCTAGGATTCAGCCAGGTGCACTAAAGCGAAAAGCAGAGCAATGGTACAACGTGTGAGAAAAAGATGATTAGCATGATGTGATCTGCTTTAGGACGTCCATCATAACTAATGACAACAAATTTTCCTTTATAACTTAACTTCTCTCTGCACCTGTATGTTGACATATTTCACATTATACAGCACAAAAACATGTCTGGCACCTGCCTCAGAGCTGAATTACAGTTAAGGAGCTGTTTGCTCCATCAGCAGACACGAGTCCTGTCAGCTCCAGCTGTTGTTGCTATTAAAGAGAAATTGGCTTTTTAATGGGAAGGCAAGACAAAGGCTGCATTTAGAGATGGAATCCCTTTGCAACAGCGCACTAGGTGCACAGGTGTGTGAGCACATAGCCATGTGTGCACGCATGCAAATGTTTCAAAGGCACAAAGTTCAAGGAGTCATTAACAAGAGAAAGGACAGTAAATTAAAAAAGAAAACCCTTTTGACACGAATTAGGGTTTGATGTGTAGATGTTGCTAAAGTGTTTCTGTGTCATGAATCTGCAAAGAATTTACAGAAAAAAACTGTTCAATACTTAATGCGAAATCTAGGGGAGCAGATATAAAATGATGCCTCCTGTTGCACCTGTTTTTGGCTTCGCAAGAAATATGCATGGAAATGGCTGGCACAAACACACAATACACCGCATATGGCAAAAGCAATCAAGCCACACCATATCTGCATTCCTGTAAATTACCCCACAAAAACATAACCTGTAGATGCCATTTTAGCAGTATTGGAGATATCCTGGCTCAGCTGCCATAAGACCCTGTACTGTGCAGCTCAGAAAGGATTAAAGTTAAATTTTACTCCAACATAAAGTGAAAGCAAAAAGGAGAGTGCACACAATGATATTCTCTAAAACTCGCCTGTCTCAGCAAGCTAGAAACCAGTTGTCTTTTTCAAGGACCCCTTTTATATTGGATGACAAACCCGTTATGACGTAAAAAAGAAATAAAAAGAAAATCATAAAAAAAATCAACCAGGATGTAGACGGTCTTTGGAGAGTCTACTAAGAATGCAGTGGGCTTTTATGTGTCACGGATCCATGATAGCAAACACAAAACTTCTATAGTGAGGTTGTTGTGGTTTGAGGTCGTGGTGACAGTGAATTGGAGCCTGGGGAAGCATGGAACCCCTGTATACATGACATGAGGCCCATGAGCACCAACATGGCTTTGTCTTCAAGGTGTTTAAGCAGGACTCAAACATGTTGTAGGCATCAAAGGAACTGCAAAAATGAATACACCCCACAACTAAAACTACTACATCTAGTATTTTGTATGACCACTGCGATTTTCAAGGATAGCACCAAGTCTTCTAGACATGGAATGACCAAGTGGAGACATGTTGCAACATCTGTATTTTTCCATTCTTCAAGAATAACTTCTTTTAGAGCCTGGATGCTGGATGGAGAGTGAGGCTCAACTTGTCGCTTCAGAATTCCCCACAGGTGTTCGATTGGGTTCAGATCAGAACACATACTTGGCCTACATACCCGGTCGTCTCTGTAAGATGGTTGCACTTCCACTTACTTAAAAATTAGGATCACTTTTGCTACAGTATTCTGACTGATATGTAAAGCTTTGCTGATTTTCTTGTAGCCCTCACCTTTTTTGTGTAAAAAAATTATTTCTTTCTCAGATTTTGTGACATTTCCCTTCCATGTGGAGCCATTGTTAACAGAATGAAATGGGAAGGGCTTTCTTTGTTAAGTAACACCCTTTTATAGTCACCTGTCTGCTGGACACTTCCTAAATAATCATTAGACTCAACTGTGGCTGCTAATTTGAATTTTGTGGCTTTTCTCCTAGGACTATAATTGGGCTTTACTCATTTTGCAACATGGGCTTGAATGGATTTGTTAGGAAAATCACTTTTTGGGTGTGGAAATTAAAAAATCTTGTTTGCAATCAAAGGCCCACATTTGTGGGAATATTTTATATTATGATATCATCTCACGGTTTCTTCCTGAAGAACAACAAGAAGTGTTTTATTTAGCACCTCAAGATTAAAATCACGAGGCACTTCACAAGAACAAAAACTTAATAACAATTTTTTGGGAAAATATTTAATAATATAAAATTGGGAAAAGTAAAAATTGTGATAAAAAAGTGAGGAAAGGGAAAGAGAAAATGAATAAGAAAGAGGTAATCAGTGGACCCCAGAAAATGCAGAATTGGCATAAAGAGCTGATTGAGGATAAGGTATTGAAGAAAAGGGAGGTTTCCTCTCCATGCTTGTTTAGTATGAGGATTGCTGTAAAGTCTCTGACACAAGTTAGTGACTCAATGCAATGTGCTGGGTTTCCTTACATAGGAAACTTTTCATTAATTGGCATAATTAATTCACTGCCAGCCGTTTCCTGATGGGTAAAGCCCTTCGCTGCCAGCGTTTCTCACCATTGTTACCGTTTTTCTAAGAGTCACAGAACATTGCACGCTAGGATGATGTTGATGCCAAAACAACCAAAACAAAGCGGAGACTCACCTCTTACATTAGGAAGAATCCGCGCATTTCGAGTATTATGCATTCTTTCACAATCCGTTGTTGAATTGTGATCAGCAGAAGCTTTTCCGGTTTGCGCCTCACTTTTTTTTACAGCAGCGGCCCAAAACGATCTCCAAACACATGGATTTTCTGCTTCCTGATCACGTGACGTGTGACATATGCAGATGAAGATCAGCTTTAGAGCTGAGATGTTTGTTCTCAGGGTGCAGGGGCTCGTTCCGATGCCCACAAGGTAAAAAAAACTGCAAATGACGACTATAATCGTCATTGGCAGTGAATGAGTTAAAGAATTATTTAATAATATTAATTTAATTTAATTTAATATTATAAAATAATGAACTGAACTCAATTGGTATGTTTACTTTGTGAAGTGCCTTAAGAAGACTCGTGTCATGATTTAGCACTATCCAAATTAAACTGAATAGCACCGACTGGTTGCAATGGCCATACACATAGACTACAACTCCATCACATAATCTTTGCGGGGTGATCTTGAAGCATGTAGCTTCATCTTGACCAGCACACACCTGTAGGGCAATGGTAGCTTAGGAGTTAGTAGTTCACCCTGCAGGTGAGTTGACATCTTAGGTGTGTTCTTGCTGTAACGTATCTCTAAATCCATGTTGTAGTTCTTTTTTAAAACAGAGCAGTTTTGTTCACCTGTTTTCCCGCTACGTTTCCTTTGCGGCTTCAAACTTCCTCAGGCTGTCGCACTTCTATTTAGAAACTAATCAGAACACAAAGACTTCATGTGTATCATTGATGCCGAAACAGTCACACTCCAATGACTTTTTCATGGCTGAAATAATTGCTTAAAACTTTCCTCCATTTAAAATAAAACAAAAACATACAGACTAGTGTATGTAGTTGTGTGTGTGTGTGTGTGTGTGTGTGTGTGTGTGTGTGTGTGTGTGTGTGTGTGTGTGTGTGTGTGTGTACGCTTAATCGATAGAAGTAATTAAATAACTCGGAAATGAAGAATCACACCAACTTACAACAGGACACTAAATATAAACCAAAACAGCTAAATTAGCCTTCAACATGGTTGATCTTACTCTTTGGCCAAACTTTTTCGTTTTCTGAAGCAACAATAAAAGTGAATCAAAAGTCAAATTCACTTACTGTCTTAACAGAGTTACAAAACAGGTCTAGATTCTATTTTGAAAAAAAGGCACCAACCAAGAAGCAACACTGCCCAAAGAGTGTGAAATTGATGTACTCAAATAGCACAGGATCTCACACCTCCAGAGTGATGTGCACTGCGATAGTTTATGTACGATCTGACCGGTTTTTGACCCGACAGTTCTTCGACAACAACAAAACATTGTATGAGTCATAACCTACAAAAAGGTTGGACACTGTTCTTTGAGAATTGTTGTATTTGCTTTTTAATATTCTCTCTTTGATAAAAAATATTGTTTTAGCTGAAAGCAGAGTAGTCCTCAAATTTAAACTCTGCAATCCTCTGATTTTAGAAAAATCACTGCAGTTAAGTGGAAAAGGGGAAATATATTATTTTTAAAGAATGGAAAAGGAAACATTTTCCTTTTTCAAGCTTCCCTTATACAAAAACTGAGTTTGAGGCTTACATAGGTATTTCAAATGCATCATTTAGTCTTACAACCTTTACAAAACAAAGTGAGTTGCATTTTTTTTTGTAGAAAAATTTTCACTGACAGTTTGACTATAGTTCACAAATGATTAATGGCTAATGCGTTGAGACCATTAAAATCTAAAATACTGCAATAAGTCTATAGAAATTACTTTGATCTTACCTAATAGGACAACACATTCTCACACTCAAAGCGTCAAAATGTGACTCGTGTGACCAAGCCTCAATATTTGACGATTCGAGAAGCCCCAGTGCGTAAGGAGAGGACGATCAGGGACCCGCAGGGACACGTGGCAGGGCTGGTGTCCGTATTTGACGCTCGCGGTCACAAGGACATTATTCCACGATCTAACCTTCCCCCACCCCAATTCTAACCTCAACTCAGCTGAGTTAAGGTCAGAATGGGGATGAGGGGAAGGTTAAGTAGCTCACAAGTCGGTCTAATGTCCGTCTCACCATGGGCGTCGGACACCGACGCTCTGGGACAGTGCGTCCTCAATGCGTCCTCTCCTGACGCACTGGGGCACCCCGAATCGTCATATATTGAGGCTTGGTCACAAGCATCACATTTTGACGCTTTGGTTGTGAGAATGTGTTGAATAGGATGCTATCAGAACCTTCTCTCCACACCCTAATTTTGAAAAAGGGTGCTATTGTGAGAAACAACAGCTAATAAAGGCTATATGACCCCTAAGCAGGGTCCTGGAGGTTGAGTGGAAGTGTGCCCAACCAATCTGCATGCGCTTTGTGGACTTGGAGAAGGCGTTTGAACATGTAACACAGAGAGTCCTGTCAGAGGTACTCTGGGGGCGTATGGGGTATCTGAAATTAGTTTTCTTCACAGGGTGTCTGGGCTCT